TCTTAGGTAAACAAAATCAATCAGGTTTTGGGCCATAGTGTAAGAAGAGTCTAGACTGGAGGTAATATCGCACAAGCGTAAAGAAAAAGAAGCAAATAAAAACCCAAGAGGTTCAGTATGTTAAAAAATAACAAATTAACTTTATCTGTCTGTTATATACAGGAGTGTGTTTTTCTCCCAGCCCATTTTCTACAGAGTGTGACACTTCTACACTTCTTAAGCAAGTTTTGATATCTTAAGATCACTGGTTTAGTTTTTTTTGATGCTGGCTTGGCTTTGTTCATCAGTATAACTTGCTATTGGTAGGATAAGCGAAGTCGGAGGTTGTGGAATCTCTTGGTCAGCTTCTGCAAGGCAACACTCTGGTTCCTGCTACTTGAACTGACTGACTGTCTCAACTGTACTAACTGTCAAACGGCCTGAGGATGTTTGTTTATATCGGTACTGACCAAAAACTGGTGCAGGGTTATACACGCAGTCTGGGGTTTTCAGTAAATCTGACAAGAAATCTCTTTGTTGTCAGGCCAGGAAAATTGATTACTCCCCATTTTTGGAAAATTAATCACTTTCCATTTGGTGGGGGGATCTCCTGGTCCATGAGGAGTGGTCGGAGAAGTGCTAAACTCCTAAACTCCCACTCTCTTACATCGATACCTCGCACCAATCCCTTCAGTGGGCATTAATAACTTTCCTGTCCTTCTCATCAAATTACCTCTGCCTATCACCATTGCTACCACTCAACTAATGGCATCCCAGCCATACAGGTGTGGCTAAGCTGGCTTCCTTAAAATTATGACCTAGAATTTTTGTATACAAAATTCTTTTTTTTCTCCCATTGGCATTTTTTTATGAATCCCACATTGCTACTTAAAATCTCTCAGATCTTTCAGTCACTCAGAGTCTTCTTAACCAGCACCCTTTACAAATTCCATCAATCACTTGTAAAAGTCTGCCATCTGGTCCCTTCATGAAGTTAGCTTTTACTGGAACCCTTGGTTTCTTGAGAAATTAGTTCTTATCTCCAAAATCACGATTCTTCCATGATATCTTTTCCGATGCCCAAAATTTTATAATCACCATATTGCTACTCAATGTGTTGGCATCTGAAGACGACACTTTGGAAAAGTAAATAACAACAATTCTCTCTACCACATATCGGAATAAATATTTCTCATGCCAAAATTTTTATAATCGCTATATTGCTGGTACTCAAGAAAAATGATATCTTGGGAAGACAGTTAATATTGATTCTCTTTACCCCGTATTGGCAAATCATCTCATGCCGAAATTTTTATGAACGCCATATGGCCAGCCCGATATCAACACTTTGCTTGTTCTGAATCTCATGTTTCTCTCGGCAAGCATTTCTTTACAAACAACATTAATCAATTGTCAAAAAAAAAAATAAACCTCACATATGGCTTTTCCGCAAGTCTACTGTCTACACCAATTTACAGGCTTTTGGGAAAGTGACTCGATTTTATTCTTAAGTAAAAAAAATAAAAATTTCAGGGCATCTTCTTTTCTGTTCCCAGTATTTTCTTGTTTTAATTTCTATGGTTAATTAGTTAACCAATTACCATAGCTAAATAGTGCCACACATTGATTTTGCTCTCCATTCTTTAACCAGTTCTCATTTTAATTTCTTCATTTTTGAGCAAGTTACTTTGTTGAAATGACTTGCAATTTTTTTTTTGCTTTTCTCCCTCTGTTTTGTGTGATTAAATATGTTCCACATCAAAAGCTCTTGTCCACTGAGCAATAAGTACACTCATATATGCATTAACTACAGTTTGACAAAACTTTGATTCATTCTTTTCATTTGTAGAACAGCCTGGTGCGTATTCAAGAACAGAATGTCCTGCTTTGGAAAACACAAGGAGTTTGTCACCAAGCAGAAACACCAATTGTGAATTCATTGTGTTCATAGATCCTGAAATCAAAGTGTTGTAACCTAAGAAAGATTACTGAATGAGGAATAACCAAAACACAGGTTGGAAATGAAATAGTAATCTTTATAACATCAACAAAATACAATACTCGCAAGTAGCGTGAAGTAGGTAAAGCAATGCTAGTGGTGGACTACTTAGCATATTATCCCCACTTACAATAGTGTCCGACATATTTATGAGGACTGGGACATACACATTAGTGTTCATAGGTACAGTATATTATAACAATATTTAACATGGTATATGGACTAAAAGGGTTAAAAAAAAAAAACAATCTTATTTTTTTTTATCAGAAAAGGACTCATTTTCCCAGGATATTGAGAAGAGGTGTATGAATTCTGTGGAAAAAATACACAATATGATTGTTACTATTCAGCGAGACACAGCTGGCAGGTTTAGGGACCAGAAGTTAGTCGACTGTTGAATGGTGTCAGTGTCTATGTGCTGGGAAAATTATTAGCCAAAATTTCTCTGAGAAACAAAATTATTGTGAAGACAGAATGAGGAATTGAGGGAGACTTCAGAAGACTGACGTCATATAATGGCTCCTCCCGGAGGAGTGGGGGATCTTCCAAAATTGGAAGTGTGAAACAGAGAACAAAAGGAGAAGACATCAGGAAGACTGATGTCATATAATGGCTCCTCCCGGAGGAGTGGGGGATCTTCCAAAATTGGAAGTGTGAAACAGAGAACAAAAGAAGGAGACATCAGGAAGACTGATGTCATATAATGGCTCCTCCCGGAGGAGTGGGGGATCTTCCAAAATTGGAAGTGTGAAACAGAGAGCAAAAGAAGGAGACATCAGGAAGACTGATGTCATATAATGGCTCCTCCTGGAGGAGGGAGGGATCTTCCAAAATGGAAGTGTGAAACAGAAAATTAAGGAAGGAGATTTGCATAAAACTCAATTATGCACCTGCACCATAACAGTTGGAAGGGACACCCATAAATACAAGTGCTCATGTAGGATAAAGTAAAGAAATTTTTTTGCCATTACACTGTTTTGCCAACCTAATGATAATAATAATAATTGCCTGCTGAAGAAAAAAAACTCTGATGATATCCTTGTGCAATCCTGGAAAGTCCAATCAACAGTATTTTAAGTTAAATCCAGTTGTCACTGAAGAAAAACTCTGACGATAGCCTTGTGCTATCCTTGAAAGTACAAATGACAGTACTTGAAGATAAATCTAGTTGTCAAGTCTGGCCACCCTTAGAGAAGTTAGCTGAAATTTTCATTCTGTCACCAAATATTAGAAACAGGTTGGGAAAAGACAAAGAAGAAAAGGAGCTATGTGTCAGGAGCTATGAAGCCAAACTTCAGTGTTGGATATGGAATGGCTGGCTGGCTTTTGCCCTACCCTGAAAAAAGTGTTGGACCACCTAAGGGACTGGTTCCCTTAATGACCGTAATCCAAAACAAGAAGCACAAAGTGAATCCAGTTATGAATAAGGTTAGAGGAACACTGAAAAGCTATAATTAGGGGCAAAAACAATTAAATCAAGCATGGCTGGTCATTTATGGAGGGCAAAGCTTACATTAAAACTAAATTTTATCATTTTATATATAACAGTATAAAAAAACTGACTATTTAAGCATAAAAAAAGAAATCAAAATTGTTGTTGTTCTCTCTAAGATATGAAGTGTGGTGTTAGGTGTATTGGGGCTGATGAAAAGTTCTCATTATGACCAAAAACCCTTGGTGGGGGTAAGAATTTAGCAAATGGTACAAGCTAAAAACTTTTCACCACCCACTCATATGTTGCAATGTTGACAAAACTAAAGATTAGCCTGATATTGGACTCAAATAGAAGCTCTATAGAATAGTATCTCAATTTTTACAGATCTAAACATACTTTGCTGATAAATATAAACATAGATTCAATATCAATGTAACAATGTTTGTAATAATGATAACTGACATCACATCCTTACACTAATTCAAACCTTTTAGATGAAATTAGGAATTCATTTTATAAATAATCTAGTAAAGTTTTCTACAATCAAAATTTAACCAATATCATTTCTGTGGTTTTAAGATTCAAGATGCATTAGCATTGTAAAATCATGACTTAATATTATAAATTACAGAAATATATTAATTTTACTGACAAAATGAATGAACCAGAACTCCAAAATACACATATCTGGAAAGGTAAGGTTTTATTCAGTACGATCAATTTACATTAATAAGTATGGAATAAAATCCACTGAGTTAGTATACTTGCTATGCAAGTTACAGTGTTAATTTCTTAACAGATTATACATAAATGTGTCAAAATAATTTTCATATTCTCTTTTTAAATTTTTTTTTAAGCATAAAAATAGTAAAAATTATTATCAATCTATAGAGCTATTGTATTCCTTTTTGTAAATTTATATAAAGTCATTTGAATAATGAAATACTATATAAAAAAAAAAATTGTTGGTTATTGTGGCATTTGGGGGCTTCCTTACTTTGCTTGATTCAACAGTAGCAACAATGGAAGTAATCAGCAGAGAACAACTGGAAATCCCATAACTCAAAACCCTATTCGGTTTCTTTTTCCCTTTTAGCAGCTGCTACCTTCAAAGCAAGCGATAAGAACTACTCACAACCTTTGTGCAGAAGACACATAGCCTGCAATTTCTCATTCCTCATGGGAACAAGCGAAGAAATCTCCCTTCAAGACACCTACCCAAAGGAAAAACTACTCACAACCCTTGTTGCAGAAGACACGTATCAGCCCTAGCAGCTTGACACTGAGATTTCTCATTCCTCATGAGAACAAGAGAAATCTCTATGAAAAATCTACCCCCCACCATAAAATACGACTATTTTGCACTATTTCAAATAAGTAAAGCTGTTAAACAGTTATTTCAAGCCTTGGATTTGTTCATTCCACTCTATACACTGCTGAGCATGCACACACACAACTGGAAAAATTCCCACAATACGAGCGTGAGATAATGGCTATTTAAAATAAGTGCAATAATCTGACAGATAAAAAATTATAAACTTCAAAAGAAATATAAAATTTATGAATGTATTTAAGAGAATAACTTACCTGCAGTATTAGCCAGAATATTACCATGAACTTCATCCCTCTCAAGGATGGGAGATATGATTACCATATTATACTTCAAAGCCATCTGAAAAAAAAAAAAAAAAAAAAAAAAATATAGAAATATCAAACTCCCAAATTATGACCAACTTATTTTAGAGGGTGAGGAAGCAAAATTTGCAGTAAAATTTTAACTTTCTTACCAACAAGCCCAAATGATATGAAACCAAATACAGAACAAACTATCAACTATTTATATGCATCTATTTTTCAGGATTTACATGTGAACTACTGTCTCCATTTATTTTGTTGTCACATTTCAGCCATTGTGCTCTCCAGCCTCCATCAGGTGCTTATTGATTTAGGAAACCTTCAGAGATTTTCAAATTTAATTTTTTATTTGATCTATGAGTATAGGTTGTTCTCATTCTGCTGATCATGTCTAGCAATATCTTGTTTAGTCCATATTTAGTACTGCTCAGTTATTGCTTGCAAGTACACACTACTCAGTCTAGGAATTGAACTCACAAATACTGTCATCAAACCCACTAGACAATAACTGAGCAGTACTATATAAAAAATAGAGGAGATATCATTAAATATGAGCAACATAAGGAGAACAATATACTCCCTTCCTGTAGGTTAAATAAATGGGTTCAGTTCAAAATTCCCTGCAAGTTACCCAGATTGGAAAGCACTTGGTGAAGGTCCAAGAGCACAATGACCAAAACATTATGATAAGAAAATGAGGGCAATAGTCCACATGTAGTAAACATAAATAATTTCTCCTCCTCCCAGAAATTCAGGCAGAAATTGTTTTTCAGGACTGACTTTAAATGCATCCCCAACATAGATGGTCTGTCCTTTTACATTGTCTCCAATCTCAAGAGGACCATATACATCAGCAATGACATCCAGAGGAAGTAGGGTAGTAATATAGGTTAGCAAAAAGCAGAATCAAAGCTTCATTAATTACAAAGACCCAGCAACTTTCATGAGTAAGATAGCTAAAAGCAGATCCCAACAGGATTAGCGATGGCAGTGAATACTGAACAATATCCCCAAAGATGAGAAAAAAAACTAGAGGCAGAAGAAATATGTTTATACAAAAGGATACTGAAAATTCCAACAAAAAGAACACTTAGAATCTATAGCAAAGAAAACGGTGACTTACTTCATCAAACCAAGCAACAGTGTGTGGTATCCTACGACAGAAAATGTGGTGAAAAAGAAAATTACTTACCAAAAAAAAAAGGGGGGGGGCAAGTATTCCGCATGACGTGTTGAAGATGGAATATTTTAGAAACAAGTCAGTCGCAGAAGTCGCAATAAAAGTATTTTGATATGCAAAAATTGAGCGTCCTCTCCCAGTTGTCAATGAATGAAAAAAATGCTCAGCGGATAAAAGCAAAAGAGAAAATAAAATTCATGCATTTTGGCTACCGTGTTTGTTGGAGAATGAGTTATTTTTCTGACTGGTTGCGTGCATTGTGATTTGTGAGATAGTACCTGCAAATCGAGTTTTCAGCATTTCTTTCTGTCTCCGATGTTAGAGTCTGACCATACAGTGATTTATTATCTGTGTTGTGGAAGTAATCTGCGACAAACATTTCCTTTGCAATCCCAGATCACTTACACTTCTTTGCGTATGAAGACAGGAAAAATATTGCTGATCTCATAGTTGAAACATATAGCCAACTTGCAGACTCAGTGTCTGTTCACTATGGCCAAGTGATCACATCAAAATTACTTTGGGAAAAGACAGATCACTGCTTGAATATTTCCTTTGCAATCTCAGATCGCTTACAGAATCAGAAGACACCTGAAATTCCTTGGACACATAATGAGGAGAGTTTCAAAAAATCCTCATGAAGCATATTGAGAGCAATAGAGATAGGGGAAGGCAGTGAGCCACTTTCCTGATAAGCTTGTGTGAATGGATGGTGGAACAGGGGCAGAAGCCATATCAAAGCAAGAAAAACTATTAAAAATCACGTAAGAAGTTGTCATGAAGGAATGAAGTATATAGAAGAAAGTTCAGTGCTTTAACTTTGCCAAGAATCAATAAAAAGGTTTAAACAGAGAGAAAATAGATTTATATATATATATTACTCTTGATATATTTATAGTAACAATATTTATAAAGCACTTTTCAAAACTTAAAAAAAAAAAAGGCAACACAAATAAGTAGTAATTTATGTTTCTCAAATTTCTTCATGTTTGAATTTTCATATGGAATGATAAAAATACAAGTCTTCTATGTGCTGTCCCTTCAAGATGTGGGCGACCATCACTCTCTACAATTTCCTGTCCTTTGTAGCTTTTAGTAAATTTTGTCTTTTTGCTATCTTTCCTAATCTATTCTACCAAGCTCATTAGGTAGGTTATGTGCTGCTTTCCTATGTACCTTCTACCTCTAATCTCTCCTGTCAGTGTCAAATTTTCTAAGCCCTCTTCATTATGCACTCTAGAAATTTCAGCTGTCTTGTTCTGATGTTAAGTATCTCTTGTTTCCATTTTCTCTAAAACTTCTTCATTTCTCACGTGTTCATTCCATGATATTCTCAGTATCCTTCCATGGAACCACATTTCTGTTGCTTCAAGTCTCTTCTTCATCTGTGATGAGATTGTCCAGTATTCCCTGCCATATCACAAGCAATATCACATAACAGTTCAATATTATATCAGAGTTAATATTGTAGACATTTTGTAAATTTGGCTTTGTCTGGTACAAGGCCATAACACTCATGAACCCAAGAGAACTGAATTGGGTGGTTGTAACTAAAGAAATGATAAATTCTGCACTGTTTTCAGTGGACAAAATGTTTGCGTTCCTCATAATTCCACCTGACTGTAATAAAACAAAAGTATTAAGTATTTAATATATCCAAGCAATTTTTTCTAAATAAAATGTTAGTTTTCTGTTGGAAAAGAAAAAAAAAAAATCCCTTTTATATGTTACAAAAACAATTGGAGAAACAGTCAAATTTCCCTACACCCTGTAAAAGACTGCATAGTGTTTTTATATTTACATATCTATTTTGTTTTTCTTTCAACAACCTGAAAACCACCACTGAAATTTGTTTATTCTTGGTTTCCTTTCTATTAGTTTAGACTAGGTACTGTTACAAAAATCGTGATACCTAAGGTTTAAAGTAATTTAATAAAATGAAAAAGGTTTCTTGATTTTAGCTTTAATTGAAAGCTAAAAGGATTAAATTTACTATTTCCAGTAAGCAAAATACGTAAGCATATTTCAAACAGAAATTATATTGATTGGAATAAATTTTCACTTTTTTTTCAGTCACATCATAGTTGTCCATTTTTGAGACATTTATAAATACAAATTAGTTCTCAGTTTTAAAACTCATGCAAAAATAAAATATACTTTTCTGAAACTTTATTTGAGGAATATTAGCTGATTTAAAATATAATTAATCTGATTTGAAACATTTAAGTTTAAAATATCACAAAAATGCATTTTTTAACGCAACAGCAGCAGATATGAAGTGTTGATAGGTCTAATGGTGATCTATGGAGACTATCTGTAAAATATAATTTAAGAAAATGACAGAAGCACACTTTTCAAGCGCTCAGTAATCTTAAAAATTTATGAAAATATTCTCTGTAATCTAATGTTTTATTAAATTTTACAAATGCTGACTTTAAATTTACTATAGTTATCACTTATTTTCTGAGAACATCATGTATGGTTGCCCGTACTTACAAAAATGGGCATAAAAAAAAAAAAAAATCAAAATTCTTTAAAAAATATTGGTGCTTGAGTATTTGTATTAAGCTTTGTCATTTATGATTAGTAAATATAGTTTTTACTTAATGATAACATCATCTAAAAGGCTGAAATTAAATACAGAATTTTAAGATTTAAAAAATGAAAAAAATGAAAACAATTCTTGTAAATATTCATTAAAATATTTTTTTCTTAAGACAATAGTGTCCTTAACATATTTTATTTATAAAAGCAATTAAAAAGCTTTTCTAATTAAATAATGTGATAATTTTATTGTATTTTTTATTTTACAATTCAGAGCAAATTTTTGGTAAATGGTGTTTCTGTTTGACAAAAACAAATTGATGATTTAAATTGTTCAAGGAGTCCTGCTTGTGGGGGTAACAGATGTCATAAAAAAGAAGAAAAAAAAGAAGGGGAAAAAAAAAAAAGAAAACTTTCTGATAAAAAAAAAAAAAAATTAAAAAATCATTTGTGAATAAGTCCTGAAAATTTCATTAAAATACAACAATTATTTGATTTTTTGCAAGAATTTCCAAAATTTTTACTGAAAAAGAGGCTAAATTTGGCCCACTGCTAGTGCAAGAAAAGAAAAAAAAAAAAAAACATGGTTGTTAACCAAAATTTTGAAGGGGTTGGAAAGGATTAAAATAAAATTAATAAAATAATCAAAAAAATACTCTGGTCTTTCCTCTTAATAATAAACTTTTTGGTGATAAACATTGTTTTTATCAAAGTTGAGACCTTTTTTCATCATGGTATGCTTTTTTCTTTTTAAAGAAAATTTTTTGAGGTACCTAGGACTAATTTGACTAAGTCTAAGGATACTTTTCTTAGATTAGCTCACTAATAAAATAATTACCTCCTGCATCAGACTTGTGGTTGGCCCAGTATAGGGGCATTCTGCAAATTCTGACCATGGATATTTCTCCCTGGTACAAAATGCAAATGGCATTGCTGAAATTAGAAGACAGACATTATATAGTTTTACTTTTCCAGACTTTTTGTAGAAACAACAATACTTGAACTATCTGACTACTCTTTCCAGAAAGAATCAAATTTCTTAATCCTTTAAATCGGGTTGCTGATATACCAGATGCTGTATAAATGTGCTTCTAATTTGGTGGATGGCCTGGTGGCCAGGGTTATGGGGTTTTTATTTATATACACTACAATGCTCTCATACCTTCTGCAACTTGACCTTTAGCAATAATTTGACCTGAAGTATTTCAACCAATTACAGCACATCAAATATAAATGTCCTAACTTTAGTAAAAATTGGAAAGCCTTTATAAAAAAGGACTTCCAAAGTCACAATTTCAGTTTCTGGTGAGAAATTTTTTTTTTTTGAGAAATAATTGCCAATGTCCCCCCCCCATAATAAGCATGTATTAAAACATGCTATGAATCTATTCAGAATGAAGTGGGTGCAACTATTTGAACTTTGGGATTTGCCAATGAATATTTATTGTAAAAACCTAAGTGGACAAGTCAGAGCAAAAATCTTAAGGAAGAATAAAAAAATATTTTCCAGATGTTCTGTCAAATGAACTGGGTCGGTGTTCAAAATTCAAGATGGATTTTCAAGTAAAAAAGGTTTGATGCCAGTATTTAAGCCAAAACAGAGTGTATCATTCACAGCATTAGAATAAGCTAATGAAGAGTTGAATAGACTCAAAAGAATTGGTTAATAGAAAAAAATTAACAAAAATTAAAAAAGCTGCAACAATGGTGTATGTAAAGAAAAGAATTAATAAAATTCATGTTTCTCAACTGGATCAAACAGTTGTTTAGAAAAATATAACTACGTATTACCAAGTCCAGAAGATATTTTTTCAAAGTTGAATGGCATAAAAATATTTTCAAAGCTGGATATCTCTGAAGCATATTTACAAATTCAGATTGAAAATGAATGTTCTGAATTAACAACCATAAATACATAGAGAGGATTATATAAGTTTAATTGACTTCCTTTTCATATAAAAGGTGGCACCAGTTATTTTTCATCAAGCCATAGATACCATGCTTGCAGATTGTGACTTTACAGTGGCTTATCTGGATGACATTTTAAAGAACAACTTGTTGGGCATGTGAAAACGATTTGGGGAAAACTAAGAGAATACAGATACAAGCTTATGTGAATTATTTTTTGCAGAACATTAAATACTTTGATAAAATTATTGATAAAAAAATGGTAGGCAAGGAGATCTATTGATGGCAACTGTAATTAAAAATATGCCTACCCCCAAAATGTGACTACAAGCATTTTAGGACTGGCTAAATTTAAGCACATAATATACATAAGTTAAGGGCTCTACTTAATGATCTACTTAAAAAAAGGAGCAAAGTGGAATTGGAATGATAAATGCCAAAAGTTGTTTGATAAAATAACAAGAGACTTATGTCTGATTTATCATTAGCACACCGTGACCCAAAAGCAGAAATTGTAGTGGCGTCAGATGCTAGTGAGTACAGTATTGGAGTGGTGATTTTAGACAAATATGATGGCAGTAAAATGAAAGCCTTCACTCACGCTTCACGATCACCTTTACCAGCTGAGAAAAATTACAGCCAGATAGAAAAAGAATCTCTAGCAATTATGTAAGCTGTGAAGAAATTTCATAAATTTATTCATGGAAGAAATTTCATGTTGCAAACAGACCAGAGACCTTTATTAACAATAGATGGTTCAAAGAAAGGTATACTTATACAGCTAATAGGTTACAACACTAGGGTACCATCCTGTTAAACTATGATTTTATGGAGTACCAACTGTCTAAAAAAAATCAGGATATGTGGATGGATTATCTAGATTAATACTTAAAAATGTGGGACCATTAGAGGACATGGTCATCGCAGCACTAAAAAGCAAAATGGAAATAAAAATCATTTTGTGCAACGTAGTATGATAGTTATCAGTGAGCCTGGATGACATAAAAGAAAAAGTAGAAAATGACATCTTTATTGCGAAAATAAAAAAGCAAATGAAAGAAACAAAGAACAAAATTCAGACTTAAATGCATACTTTATATGCAATGGTGTAATAATGTATGGTCAAAGAGCTGTAATACCAAGTGTGTTACAGAAACGAATATTAAAGGATTTTCATTGTGGACATCTTAGTATGTCTATAATGAAATCTATGATGAGAAGTTTCGGAAATTGGACCAGAATGGACCAAAATCTTGAAAGAATATTGAAAGCATGTAGCGGTTTTGCTCTAGCAGCAAAACTACCTATCACAAAGATAGAACCTTGGCCAAAGACAGACATGCCATGGTCAAGACTGCATATAAATTTTGCAGGTCCTATCAATGGATCATATTATCTTGTGGTAGTTAATAGTTTAACAAAATGACCAGAAATTTATAAGTGTAAAAATCCACTATCCTCAGTGACAGTGAATTTCTTGTATGAACTGTTTGCGAGATATGTCATACTAGATAACATAGTATCTGATAATGGAATGCAACACACAGGTAAAGAATTCCAAGACTTTTGTAGATTGTTCTCTATTGAGCATGTTATGAACTCACCATATCATTCAAGGTCGAATGGACAAGTAGAACAGTTTGTGGGAATGTTCAAAAAAGCATTGAAGAAAGCAAGTCTTGAGAAATTAAATGATGAAGCACTTCAAAATTTACAGAGTTTACTGGGTAACACCTAACCTCAATGCACCATCAGGTATGTTACAGGTAGAATTAATGTTTGCTAGAAGAGAAAAATCAGTGTTCAACAAGTTATTAACAAGTCAAAAAACACAAACAGTTAACAAAAGTAACACCCAAAAGTTTCAAATTTGGTGATAAAGTGTTCTTTAGCGCATATGAAGATGGCAAAGAAACATGGGAAGACGGCATAATATCAGCAAGAATTGGGAAATTGATTTACATGGTGAAAGGGGGAAAAATTTGAACATAAATTTTTTTCAGCTGATTATGATCAGTTGAAAAAAAAAAAAAGATTCAGTGATGAAAGACCTGTAATTTGGAGGAACCAATAAAAATGCTACATTACGTTTTCAATGTGCCAGCACTACAAGTCATGGAATCTACAAGGACAATTTCTAGAAAAAGAAAGTATACTGAAGAACTGGAAGTGGACCTAAGACAGAAATGTTACAATGTCAAGTATGTTGGCAAAATCTCCAGAAAGAGGAGGGGGAGATACTAATACTAATAAAAAATAAAATATAAAAAGTAATAATCTCAAAAGATGGGGATGTTGTGGAGTGAACAGTACACTCTCCAGTGACTATGAACTAGTCCATTACTATAAAGAGCTCCAGGTCAGAGGTAAGATTAGTAGCTGTTTTGAGCCATTCTTCAGATGAACTAATACAGGTGTCACAATAGAGTAGCTGAAGCATTACATATAGCGAATCCTTATATGAAGTACATTATATAAGTAAGAGTGTTATAACAATAGCCATAGAATAGTGGAAGAGAATGAGAAGACTTTAGTAAGGAGGAAGATCAATAAAAAATAGGATTCAGAATGACAGAAGATAGTGATTGATGTTGCATTTAAATTTTTGAAGATTGTAAGTAGCAGGGAAGCAAAAAATTGGAAGAGAATTCTACAAGTAAGAAGTGAGAGTAAAGAATCTATTAGAATAAAACTTATAGTTACATTTAGCTATTTCAACAGTAAAACAATGAGATCTAGTAGCCAATCTAGTAGTATACTTAAATTCACAAAGTCAAGATGACAGTGAACCAACCTTCTCAGCAGCAGGCCAAGCAATTGATTCAATATAATTGCTCCACTTCATGTTTTTTTTTACAGTGATGTTCACCATGTACAAGGCCCAAGAGCCACTCGAGGTAAAGGTCACAGATTAAGAGGTACAGTTTATGCAGATATGTGGGGAAGATAACAGTTAACTCTAAACATGAACAGGTTAAGATTGTAGTAATCAAGTAAACATCCTCTTGAGAATTGGTTCCACAAAGCAGGGGTTCATGGGAAGAAGCTTCTCAAGTGGAACTTACATCTCACCAATGGAATACAAAGGGAATGAGGGGGTTCACTCCAGTATGTGTGGCATGGCAGGTCTTAGCTATGAAGGTTAGGACTGCTGGAACTAAGGAATGTAGTTCATCTGAACTCTTTCTATGAAACTAGTGATAGAGCAGAAAGGGGTTGTAGAGTGGAAAATAATTCGTTATCCACAAAGACATACAGATGCTTTTGGACTATTAAGACTGGAAAGTAAAGAGATATATGGCAGCAGTACTCTATTTTCAGTCTGATCTGAGAAAGGATAACAGGATAACTTACTGGTGTAGTACAGCGAATTGACCATTTTTCTGGCACCTTTAGCATTAGATACTATGTAGGAGTTCCACTTGAGGTCTGAGTTGAGTTTAAGTTTCAATAAGTGTTCAAGGCATTGGGGCCTCATTGTGATGGTGAAAGTTCTAGGTGAGATTGGCAATGATAGAATGTCACTAGTTTGGCCTATGAGGCATTGAATATGACCAGCTTTTTCTTCCACTGAGCTGTTAGAGCTAGATCAGAGGAGAGACCGGCTGCCAGGCCTGGTGATTTGGAGTTTTAGATCCCCCCCTCCAATATTGTTGTATCATCAGCATAGGTATTCATAAATGATCAGAGTATACTCTTAGGCAGATCATTTATGTAAAATAGAAAGAGGGTTGAACTGGGAAGCAAACCTTAGAGGGCGCGTGTGTTGATCGTTTGGGCATTAGAGGACTGACCATTAACAACTACCTTCAAGGACCTACTCTGTGTCATTAGCATAAATATCTAGTTGGAAACTGATGACATCAGGAAGGTCGTTGATGAACATAAGAAACAAAGTCCAAGGATAGAGCTCTGGAGAACTTATGCATTAATGTGAAATGATCTAGAAGCATTGCCCTTCTATACAACCTTCATTACATGATTTGTTAAGAATGACTGGATTAAGGCAAATATTTGACACCATAGCCCTTGGATTTGTGGAGAAGGTCATCATGCTAAACCCAGTATAACACCTTTGAGATATCTAAAGCAACATTCTGAGCTTCACCATTCTTATCTAAAGCATGATAGAAAAATTCAGTTTTAACAGTTAATACATTAGTGGTTGACCTATGGAAATGAAAGCCACATTATTTATCTGAAAGGCAGTGTGAAGAGAGATGCTTAATCAATTAAGAGTTGATTAGAGCTTCTAGTACTTTGCCAAAAATAGGTAAAAGACTAGTAGCATGATAAATCAAGAGGTCAAAAGGTTCAGGAACTACAGAAGTAATACTGGTAGAAGAGATGACACTAGTGTCACATCTGATCTTGGATAATCTGGTTATTCATGTGACAGAAGAGTTTTCTGGCCAGAACCATTGATTGTACACCAATTATACCATAGTGAAGTCAGTACAGTACATACTCAAAAAGCATGATATTAGAATGTGTATTGTTATGATGATAAACAGCAAGGATGTTCCAAGAACAATAATAAAGAGAAAGAAGAAAAATGGCAAAAAAGAATGTAACAGGTTTTATAAAAGACAACAATATAGATGTTAGTATTATGTTAGAAATTTACGCAGATAAATAGATAGCAAACAAACATATTTTGTTTTGTGTGAATGCAGGTATTTAACTTCATATTAAAGGCAGGAGGATAAACTCAAGGAAAAAGACAAATGTTGTACCATGTTAATACACACAGTGACTTATTTTATTTATTAGGGACAATACAACGGTGCACCCTCATAAAGACAATAAAAACAAAGAAACTAGTAGTAAATAACTCCAATCCCCTTGTCTAAGTGTTCATCTGACTAGAGTGGAAGTTTCAACAGGTTATCACTTAGTAAAATTATAAAAATACAATCTACGTTGTTATTGCTATTCCAATGGAGGAATATCTGAGATATGATGCACATTAAAGCAAATGGATGCCAGTAAATTGTCCCAAAGCAGTAAAAATATACACTGCATACATGGAGGTCACAGACAGACAAAAAAATATCAGATGACATGTCTCCAGAAATCTACGCATGACAACAAGTGGCAGAGACACCTGTTGATAAAAACATTTATATAGAAGCCTACAAGGCCTACATGATAATTAATTTCATCAAGCCTCATGTTTAAATTTGAAAACCATTTTGGGGATGTAAGAAATACATAGAATTCTTTTGGCAATTATAAGTCTCAAAAGTTGCTTGACATCAACCATCTAAAAGTGAATATTCATTACAATGTTGTCAGGTCAGTTGATAGAGGGACAAATAATAGATTAGCAGTTTGTAGAAAGAAATACACAGTAGTCAAAAAATCTCAAGCCAACTGCATAAAACAAGGACTTATTTAAAAGAAAACTACTTACAAATGATAATATGATTGGTATTTCTGCATTGGAAACAATAGGGACAACTTCTGGTATGGCTGGCATCAGAAAATACAAGTGTGACATTAAAAATTTATATTTATAAATGTAGATTCTTGTAGGGTACATTATGCCATGGATAGAAGGATGCCAAGAGGAGAGCCATATTTTTCAGCAAGATTTTTATTTTTTACAATGATCTTCAGCCTGTACAAAGCCCAACAGCCATTTTGAGTAGAAGATTACAGAATAAAAGACTATTTATGGGGATATTTTGTCATTTTGCCTCAAGCAAGGCAATCCTGCCACAAAGATCCAACTGGGAGTGAAAAGATTTTAGAAAGAACTGGAAACCAGATTTTAAACAGGGGAAAAAGGGATAAACTTCTACTCTTCAAAAGACTGGAGAGGAGTGTTAACCAGACCATAGGCAAACCTATCTACTCCAATTGAGAAAAAAATTAATAAAATAAAATTTCAGAGTTCAGACAGAGACCTTAGAATTATAGAGTTGAAGTTGACTTTAGAGGGAACTGGAAAGCCAATCTTGAACAGGAAACAAGATAAACTTCTACTTCTGTTCAAAAGACGGGGGAGGAGTGTAAGAGTTGAAAGAGTTAATGTTAATTTACACTAACAGTCAGTAAAGCTGAAGATGCTTGAATAACTATACAAGTAACTGTTAACATTCCTGTAGCAAAAAAATCTATAAACAAAGTTTCGGGAGAGTTTATGTCAAAGAAAGCAGTTTCCTTACAAGTTGTTATTGTTTTATTATTAAGTAACAAATTCTTTTAACTATCTTTTAGTACAATAAAAGATACTAAAATGTGATACAGAAATTCAAAAGTGTATAAGACTTGTGAAAGTCATCTTTCAGAAATTGAGCAAGGTATTAATGTATTGAAAAACATCCTTAGAAACAAACTAGTTTGGACTGAATTCTTATAAGAATTAAAATTCTTTTTAAGCTAAATATATTTTCTAGATCCTGAGTGAACATATGTTTACTCTTACTTGAAATCATAAAAAATGAACAAAACTTTCTGAAAATATTTATCCATATAAATGTGAATACATAAAGGAGAGCATTTTATGTAGGGAGAAATCAAAAAAGACTACTTACGCCAAGTTTCTTGGAAGCAAAGGATGTTCACCTTGCAAAGGGCAGCAGCTTCTATGATTTCACAAATCCTTTTGTGAAGGGCAGACCTCTACAAAAAAAATCCAGTGAAAAATAGTTTTATTGATGTATCAAAACAGATGCAAAATGCAGTGTAAACTGACAAGAACATTACTATTTCCCCTCCCACTTTGTGTATATTATGATCAACATCTTTAAATTTTAGAGCAGATAATTTTCATGCTATTATTTTGGAAACACTTACAGCACCAACTAGGAGTATCGGAAAACTAGGAGTATTAGAGATGTCAGAAAAGTATGACCTACCAGTACATTGTAATCAGTAAATTCATACACTTAGAAAAACTTGGAATAGCAAAGAAATCCTAAATACATTAATCAGATTAGTGTCTTTGTTGTTATTGATGTACTTATAGTTCCACCATTGTGCACTCCAGTTTTCTTCAAATTAAATTCATAATTCAACAGTCTTGCAGCTATATCACATTGAAACACCATTCCTTGTCTGATCACTGAAATTAAGCAATGTTGAACCTGGTCAGCACCTAGATGTGTGATCACTTGGGAATACCAGAGGCTGTAAGATGTGCGGGTGATGTAATAGATAATAGTCAGAATAAGAAATCAGAGCAGTATTCGAATTCTACTAGAGTTCATTATACTCACTAACATGCAAATACCCTTGGAAAAAATATGAATCCACTTTTCCCAGCTATAGGTTAAATAGTAGGAATTGTATGAGAAAATCATTATCTTCAACAAATTTTTAACATTAAAGAGGTTGATAAGCTGTAAAAAACAGATCAATCAATCAAAATCATAATTCAACATTGAATGTTATATAATGCCCTTTTCCATTGCATATACCCGGTGGTATAACCATGTTTTAGTGGTCTGGTCTTAGAACAATGTTTTAACCACAGGGCTAACTCCGCACTGGTCAATGCTGAAACTGGTCCAAACTGACTGTTGATCGCTGACCACTTCAATCCACACCAACTCTGCCCATGCTGTGTTCTTGATCTCAGAATAATGGAAAATGGAAGGTCATAGTCTTGCAGCATTAATTCAAGCCATATCAGGTGATATATTAAGGAAAAAAATATTTTCACAATGAAAAAATAAAATGAAAGATTCATGAGGTTAATCTTCAATTGGTTTATATAGCTCTTGGTACAACAAAAAGTAACCTTTCCCCCATATCACTCTATATAGTAACACTTGCCATTGTCTAAGCTTCTGGAGGGCTGGGTTTGAAGTCTTGGAATCAGAAAATATGGTTGGCAGCTGACGTGGATTTCAGAGGCACTCAATGTGGGATCTCAGCCCAAAGAATCCAAGCTCCATAAAGTTATCTGCTTATACGTACTTTGGCCCAAAACTGGCATGGTGTTAAAGGGTTGTGGGGATTTGGTGATTCCTCAATTTCCATTAATTCCAATAAATGCTTTCTTTGTTCCTTATTTCTGCTTTCTTAATCAACTTTCCAAATTTGGAGAATTATCCACCTTCCTTGGGAGTAATCACAGAGATTGCTCTTCCCTTAACTCCAACTTGCTTCACTTCACGTCTCACAATGCTACTCCACACAGGCAGGGTTAAATTCTGCCCCTTCCTCCTCAGTAATCTAATTCTGCCCACTTCTCAGGGCTGGTGTAACTGTCTTTGTGATAAATCTAATTTTTAAAGTGTGTAGGAGAAAGGGCATGGTTTATTCTCCTCATTAATCATTCCCTAACTACTTTCCTGGACCCACCTGTTCAGTGAAAACATAAGCCAGATCACCTTCTCATTTTAACCTTACAAGTGATAGATAAAAATTACTTCCCAATTTGTTTTAGTCAATGAAAATATATTTGTTTACCTAAATTCTCAACAAAGAGACATACTATTTTTCATCCTTGGGCTGGTCATAGTCTTAGTGAAAATATAAACCAGATCACCTGTCTGTTATGACAGATCAAGTTTCATGATCCTAACATTTGTAGTTGTTCATTTCTGAATTCATAGAGGTGAGGCAACTAGATGGCCCTTCCTTCACTTCCACATGACCTGGGAAAATGTCTTCCATTCTCTCTTTCTATCTCTCTCTCTTTCAGTTGATACAAGATAATTTTGCATGGATGACAATAAAGACAAATAAAGAGTTTTCCTTTAAATTTACGGTAGGTGAAAATTATAGGGTACAATAGTTACAATGTAGTGACCATAACCAAGATGAAGATATTTTTTACAGTAAAGTTGAGCCTGTACAAGGCTCAGGGGGTCACTCAAGGTAGAGGGTTAGGTTAGGAAGGGAAATAATGGTTAACCATAGAATTGAACAGGTTAAGATTGTAGTGATCAAGGAAACATCTTGAGAGTCAGTTCCACAGAGCAGTGGTTTGCGGGAAGAAGCTGTTTGAGTGAAATTTACTTCCCCCCGATGGGATACAAGGAATGTGGATGGTTTGATACAATGTAAGTGGCATAGCAGGTCCTTGCTGTGAAGGTTAGAACTGGAAGAACCAAGGAATGTAGTTTGAGCATTTTCCATAAATGTTAATCCAAATAGATTAACAATAGTTCCTTATCTGAGAAATTCAAAGATTTTAGTTGTTTTTCATAATAATTCTTGAAAATAAACAGTAAATACCTGTTCTGAGACTGTTGCAGTGGTTGGTGCCACAATCTGATTTTGTATTGCACCCACTCGCACAATACGGGGTGCACGAAGCTCCTCAGTTTGGGCTTCAAAGACATAGCCACTGATTTCAAAGTTCTTTTCAGCTGCAAGGGTCTCAGCTTTATCAGGAATCTTTAAGTTTCTGGAAAAAAATTGATGAAATCAGAAAACTTCTAAGCACAATTAAAAATTATAAAGAAAGTCTCTTTGAATACCTACAAATGTTAAAATAAAAGCAAATTGAGATTTCTGTGACTGCCCCCCCCAAAAAAAACAGTTCATTTACAGAACCCAACTAAATTAGAACCTGTCCACCTCACCTCTGAAGATGCATAATTTTTTTTTATATTTATTAAGCTTCATATGACATCATGCCAAATGTCAGTAGGAAGATTGTGTTGGGCTAATCATCCAATTATCGATAGCCTGTCTTCCTTGAAAATAAGAATTGATCATGAATCACTTATCAAATGGGGACTAAAAAGAACAGTGTTAAGCTAAAATTAACCCTAATAAAATTTGCCAGGCTTAGTTGGTCAGGTGACAGATAAGGCTAATCAAAAGCCTCTGGTTAGCAACAGCTCAGAAAATGTCAATTTTTAGTTGTGTTTATTACAGACTTTTTCACTCAATTAAAAAGACGAAAGAGGCAGGTGAGCAGTCTGTCCAGACTTTAAGAAAAGAAGTCTGTTCCCCAGAGCCTTGGGGATTGGTAGGCAACATACAGTGGGTTATAAGTAGCATCTTTGTAGGTTAATATGCACTCAGGTTCAGGTCTTTTCTTATATTTTTTATCAATGTTCCCAATTAATTACAACCAATAAAGTTCAGATTGCATACTTTAGTATCAATCTCATACATTTGAGATTTTTTTTTTTTAACCTTTAGCTTACCCAATACAAGGTAGAGAATTATGGAGAATGGTTTCTGTAAGGAAGGCATAAATAAGAAGTGCATAATAAAAGGATATGTAGAATGGATATCATTTGACCATGAACTTAAAGAGGTTAAGATTGTAGTGGTCAGGGAAGCATCACCTCTGGAGTCTGTTCTACAAAATTTTGTTATCAAAGTTGAAGATTAATTAATTCAACTATTGTGTTCAGGTGGCAGAAAAATTTATAAATTTTCATGATTTTAAATTGTTCTATTAAAAGGAATTTATTCATTTTGGACAGAGTGTATGATTTCTTGCCAGTTAAGCTGACACAAACAAACATTTCTCCATAAGAGAATGGAGGACTTATATAGATTTAAATATTTAACAAAAGTTGATTATGTATCTATGAATAGGAGATGTGAGATGGAAGTGCTAAAACATGTTTAGTATTAACAATATAGAAAAATATATTCATATTGCAAAGAGGAAAAAGAACACTGAAATGGATAAGATTGTCAATAAAACATATTTATATATTAAGTGCATAAATTTGTTAAAATGTTCTGAGATATGAAGAATCACTTCTATTTAGGAGTGTAGATTATGCGAATTGGAATTTGAAGTCATGGTCAGAGAACAGAGGAAATCTTTTCAACCAGGTGCTAAAACAACCAGAAGAGGTGCTCTATTTACCTTTTTGAAAAAAATCAGTTTTGTGATTTTTTCCCAGATATTTGTTTTTTATCCAAAGTCTGTTACATGTACACATAAAAAAATATGATAAGCAAAGCTAAAAATTGACTCTTAGAGAATATTAAAAGCCACTAGTTTAAAAAAAATAAAGAAAAACCATAAAATAACACAAATATGATTAGTTGTCTCTCACACTTGGTCAAGTGGTTAGAACATAAGCATTCTAACCCTTAGACCTGGGATCAAAATCTCACTATAGTCAATTTATCTGGAAGGTGATTTATTGAAAATATTGACCTGGGAAGATGATCCCAGCATGCAGCATCATTGGGAAGTGCCTGAAAACCAAAGCCATGTTTTAAACTGAGAAATAATATACTACCTAGTATTAGTGATAAGACAAGTACATCAAATTCCTTTATTTACATTGTTCAGACTGTTGTCCTCATCTTTATTACCATGTTCATGACTTTTCGGCCATTGTACGGCCTTCTTCAGGTGATTGGAATTTCGAACTGAACCCTTTATTGCGTCTACCAGGGTCAGCTGCTTTAGTTCCACGTGCCATGCCTCTTCTTGATGTCTCAGTTATCTCCCTTCAACTCACCTCTTCAAGTCTTTGTTCACCACTGCAGTAGCCAGGTATTGAATTCACAACTCTGGGTCAAGTCAATGGATTCAACCAACACTTTTATCCATGTGACCTTGAGGACATCAGTGTATGAATTTTTAGGACTTATAAACTTAATGTCTCAGCAACCATTTTTATTTTCTTGTTATTGCTTTTCTCTAACACTCCATATTGCTGGTTCCCATATTGTATTAATTTCTATGCTTGGCCAGCTTCAAAGATTTTTCTGGTCTTACATATGTGCTGATTCCTTAAGTTTTCATATTTTCCAGTGATGTTCTTTGTCTATTATTTCAGCCTCATCCCACAGGGTGCAGTGATCTCCCTTTTCCTTTCATCTGTGGTCAGCTATGCCTGACTTTTCTAATTCCCCTCATGTTATAGCTTTATGATGTTCTTACCTTAAGGGGGTGGCTTGTTTTTCTTTAAATTTCTTACCACAGATGCACAGGATGATGTACACACAGTCTTTAATGTTCTTCTGTAGGGGGTGGGGTGTCTTACTCAGAAAAGATGTCTGCGAAGTGTCAAACCACTTTTGAAGGTCATCCTGATGTTATATGGACCACAGATTGGGCAGCTTGAGGCAGTGTAATAGTTAGCAAGCTTGTCTTGCTAGAACAATTATGAATGAGTAGTGAGTTCAATCCTCACTGGGTGCCCAATACTTTCAGCCTTGTGTCACATCTAAGCTATGCTTGGAATATCTCTATATGGACGACAGATCTTTTGTATTTTGTTGAGGTATTGTCTGGTGAATGTTGGTTTGCAGTATATGAGTGTCTTGAACCCATGCTCTGTTCGAGATATTAGTACATCCAGGAAGGCGTGTTTGTTGTTATTTTCTTGCTCTATTGTGAATGGTGGATGTCTTCCTGGTGTGGCCAGAGTATGGAGGTGTCATCTACATATCTCAGCCATAGGGTTGGTTTTAATGATGTGGAGTCTAATGCCATTTCTTCAAAGTATTCCATGTATATGTTTGCCATTGCTACGAGCATGTGGAAATGGGACAATCTACCCTGGTGGATGAAATAAAGGGTTCAGTTCAAAATTCCAATCACCTGAAGAAGGCTGAAGTGTACAACAGCCAAAACGTTGTGAACATAGCAATAAAAATGAGGACAACAGTTTGAACAATGTAAATCATGTAAATAATTACAATACCTCATTTTAGAAATATAGACAGATATCAAATTCCTGTTTACTGAATTTATTATATATAAATTTTAATAATAAAAAAAAAAAAAAAAAAAAAAAAAATCACCCCAAGCAAGGCAGTAAAGCCATAAAAACAAGGGGTTACTGAGTGTGAAAGAATTAAAAAACAGAAACATTATTAACAAGTGAAAACAGTGATCAGGAAGACAGTAGATAATGATTGACATTGCATTTAAATTTTTGAAGATTAAAGTTGGCTGGAAATACAGAGTTCAACATTATTGTTATGGGTACTTCAGGAGACATGTTTTTCCCAACAAAAAGACATGATGTGTGTAATGCTTGTAACAAGCTACAGCAGTATTTTTTGTACAAAATACAATCGTTTTTTATTATATAGAATTTTTATTTTCTCTCCTCTGATAGAGAGAAAATGTAATAAGTTCAGTTCGATAGGGAGAACTGAAGGCCATTAAACAAGGTTTATTTCAGGACAACCCCACTTCCTGCTAAATAAAAATACCAGCCACCACTAATGTAGTACAAGTAGTAATTTACAAAACAATTTTATGATATCCAAAGTCATGTACAGATAAAATTTAAAATGCCTCTAATTTGTTATCAGAGTTAATCTAATTTTTTTTTTATTATTTGGAAGTAGTTATTTGTGGTTTTGTTGTGAATTAGGTCATAAGTGGTTTTTGTCCTTGATATCTATCACTAAGTCAATCTTTCAATTTCAACAATTTTATAAAAAGGTCAAATTCATCTTTTAAAAGAGAAAGAAAATGAACATGAAGAAAGCTTGCTTACAAAAATAAGTATTTTTGTGAAAGTTTGAAAACTCTGGATTTAAAATTGATTTCACACATGAAAGGAAATTATCTAAACTGTATAAATTTCTGAATTATACAACCGTTATATTTGACAACATATTTCCCAGACTACTTTTATATGCAAATATAAAGACCATTTTATAAGCAAATATTTAGCCATGACAACTGTAGATATTTGGTTTTTTTAAAATTTTTTTTTTATATCTGAGGAAATAGAATTGTTTGTTATTTGCCCATTACATACAGAAAAATTTCTGCTACATGTCTGTATTGTCAGTTTTTACTAGAAATGTTTCATGGAAGGATTATATTTTCTGTTTAGACAAATATTTGAAGCAGGATTAGCATTTTCTGATAATGTTAGTAAAAAATCTTAAATGGTAAAATTTATTGAAAATTCAACAATTAACATATTGAAGCTTAAGTAACAACTCCATATTGATCTTTTACATTTCTTTTGACAAAGTATCCAATTTCTGTTTCTAGTTTCAAATCAAATTTATTTGGACAAATTATTCATATTTGTCATAAATGTCAGATTCTATTAATACTACACTTGTAAGCAATAACTTACTGTATATACTTGTGCATAAGTCAACTTCACACATAGTGTGAGTCCTGAATTTTTGGCATTTTAACCCCTACAAAAAATTTGCCTGTGTATAGTGCAGGTGGTAACAGAAATTGCAAAATATTTAACCTCTTCAAAAAAACTACCTTATTTTAATTTTGTAATTTTTTAATATTCTTGTTGAAAGTAAAATATTACATTACACACACTAAATTTAAATACTATCATTGAATTTTTTCTCGTATTGTCTCCTTTTCAATGCTAAAATACTTTGTATTAATTCTTGTGGCATTTAGATAATAAATTAATGTTTATTTGTTGATACTATGTTGTCTTTTTCTACTGGATTTTATTCTTTCAATGAAAATCATGAGATTATTCTAAATAGACAAATTATGAGCAGTTCCACAGCAATATTTTACTTTATTTTATTGAATCCCGACACACTGAATTTTGACATTTAACAAAAAGCTGAGCAGAAGGATTCCTACAAATAGTGACCAAAAAATAAGTACACTAAATCACCCATAGGCAAATTCAGCACACCTGATGCAAGATTCATAAACATACATGTTGATATTGTAGGACCCTTACCTTGACTTTCTAAAAAACAAAAAAAAAACAAAAAAACAAACATTTTTAAAATAATTTAATTCATTTCTGAATAAGTTCTGAAAGTTTCATTAAAATCTGACAATTTGATTTTTGCAAGAATTTCTAAATTAATGTGTTTTTTAATTGAAAAAAAAAAGCAGTAAAAAAAATGCTAAATATTACACAACCACTGACGTAAAAAAAAAAGATTTTCAACTAAAATTTCAAATGTGCTAGGTTAAGTCCAGTGGTGAACCTTCTTTAGTATTTAATCCGCAATGTATGGAGTAGGTTATTAGAAGTCTGGACGATATAGCCAAAGAGACAGAAGTGTCCAGTGCTAGCATTGTGTAGTTACTGGTCAAATCCAATGGTGAAGCTTCTGTAGTATTTTAATCAAAGTGTACAAAGTAAATTGTTTGAGTCTGGATGATATGCATACTGCGATTTCCTGAGTTAGGTTGCTGAAAGCAAGGACCTAGTTTAGCCGGAAGTTCAGGGCTGTTGTAAGCAGGTCCATTAACACTGATCAACCAAGTTAGGTCAAGATAAATAATGCTGGAAGTAGGAGCCAATGCATAAGAGTTGAGAGCAGGTCCATTAACACAGATCAACCACGTGAATTAGGTTGAAGTAAGGGCCAGAAGTAATGAAGGACAGCAATGCTGGAAGTCAGTGCCTGTGGTAGCAGGAAATAATATAGGCCAAGAGTGCCAGAAGTAAGGACAATGCCCAACTAGCATCCAGCTAGCAGACAAAAAAAAAAAAAAAAAAAAAAAAGAAAAAGAGGACTGTAACTTAATACAGAGCCTGTTCTGACAATGGTGCAGACTTTTGTCATCATTTCTTCCTCCTCCACTCTCCCTGACTGAGTTCAGTGAGGGTTATATGGAAAGAGAGTGTAAACATTAAATGAACCTGCAAAGTACTAAAAATCTCAAGAAAAAATAAACTGAGATGTGCTATGAAATATAAAAAGTATAAAATGCCCACAAAGTGCATTATGACTAAATTCGTAACACAGAAAGAACTACAAAGTTATTAGACTTATTATAAATGTAAATGAACTTAAATTGAAGGCAGTGTGCTATGCAATGAAAAGATCAAGGTCATAGGCTCTGCCCTTGGTCATGTGGACAGAGCAGCGAACGGTTATGATACTATATTATTAATTTATATTTTTTAATATCTTTTTTTTTTAATTTTAAAGTTGAGATGTAAACATGCAATGAATAAATGAATTGCAGACAATCAAATTTCTCTGTAGTGTAAATGGAGGACAACTCTTCCAATATATGACCTTTTCATAATAATGCTACTATAGATGAAAAATAGGAATAGTTAAAGTAAAAAAAACAAAAAAAATTAAAATTATTCTAAAATAGTCGTAAAATGATTTAAGCGTTTCAATTTTGGATTCACATAGTTTCCACTTAATTACAATATTGCCTAAAAGAAATAAAGTAATGCAGAATTTTTAAACGATTTTTAAATTATTATAATTACAATTAAAAAAAATGAATTCATTTGTGAGTAAGTCCTCAAAGTTTTTTTTAAAATGCAACAATTATCTGATTTTTGAAAGAATTTCCAAATCAATGTATTTTTCACCGGAAAAAAAAAAAAAAAAAATATATACTTATATAAAAAATATATTTCCTTATCGCTAATTTAAAATAAATAAAAATAAAAAATAACAAAAAAACCCCTTGTTTCCAGTGTTCAGGAATAGTAATTTTAACTATTTTTTCATATTTTATCCTCAGAAAAAATTTTTATAATCGTTTCACCAACCAATTTCACTGAGAAATGAAAGAGCATTCTTTGCTTTCAGGAAATACCTAGTTTCATGGGGTGCAGATCAAAAGTTTACTTGATATTTTGTTCAGATGATGACAAAAGTCATTTTTCAATTTTTTTTTTTCAGTTCAAATTGGCTGTAGTGTAACAAAATAACTTTTGATATGTTTGTGATGATTTTTACTTGGGATAGAAATGTTTTATTATAGCAGATCTGTATTGACTTTAGGGGGGGCTATAGTTGCCCTCAAAAAGCTGTACAGGACTTGTATTTTAATTTATTTATAGTATTTATAATTTCTACAGATAGTATCAACAAACTTATGGCATAAGCTACAGTTATAAAAAAAAATAAAAGAAATTGGAATGCTGAAAGGTTTTGTTTTTTTTACTTTAATAATTACGAGGTACTACAATAAGCTGGTTCATGTAAAAAAAAAAAGTTACGTCAATTATGTCCTTCCGTATGATAACTCGAATCTCACGTTAGCTGTCGATATGTGATGACAGCAATCATTCATCACTTGTCAACAGCCAACTATGTTAAGATCGCCTCTTTAAAATTTAAAAAAAATGAAAACAATTTATGTAAAAATTAATTATTCATTGAAAAAAATTTTCTTCTTAGGATAAGTGTCCTTAAATTTGCTTTTTAATTCCCGCGCTAAATATCTCTTAAAAATTTTCCATATCGTCATATTTCTGTGTAAATGTACTAAGTACGAATTTTTCTTGTCGATAACTCCAAAAGTAAACAGTAGGTTTTATTATCATAATTTAATTGTTAATTCGATTTCAGCATGTACATTTACTTTTTTACACGGAAATATGAAGATTTGTGAAAATTTTAATCGATATTTACCGCGGGGATTAAAAAGCAAATTTACCCCTTTAATTGAAATCTTATTTATCAAACAAAGCAATTACAAGCTTTTCTAATTAAATAATTCATAATTGTATTGCATTTTTTAATTCAGGGCGGATTTTCGATGAAAGGGATAACTCAGAACTAGTAGAAAAAATTACTATGAAAGTAAACTTTATTAAAAAAGTTTTTTCTAAAAATCAGAAAAAGGTATGATAAATTCATTGCCTTCATAAAATGAAAAAAAAAAAAAAAAAGAGTAGAGATTTTTTTGTCTGTTTTTTAGTTTATTTTATTTTTATTTGAAGAAGTAAATTTAAATTTATGTTGACATTTTTCACAACAAAACTTACCTTAATTCCTTACCATATAAAACTCGCCAGATGTCTTTTCTTTCTTCCTTCGGAATATGTTTTTCGAGAATTGACTCAATACTGTCGAACTGGCCTGACATAGTCATCGACATAACGATACCGTACGTATCAAAAACAAATAACTAAAAAACTTAGTCAGCTCTTTAAAACATGACGTCAGTCGTGTAACTTGGGCTAAAAACTTTTCAGCCAATCGATAAGCTGGTTTTATAAACTTTCGGTGTAATAAATAAATAAATTTCAATAAAAATAAATCGCGTTAATAATTTTTTTTATTTATTCGTAAGGATTCAAGTGTACGTTTCGTTACATTTTGTTAGAACAGATTAAAAATAAATGAAAGACGTTTTAAAACAGTCTGCAAATATGACAAGCACAATTTTGTGAAAAAAATTAAGAGTGCATACATTGCAATTTATGTTTTAAAAATCAGAATTTACATATAGTTGTTTTCTATGTTTTTTCTTAATACTGCACAATTTCACAAGTTTGTTTGAGGAACCCAATCAGAATCGAACTCATTAACGATCTGCGAGACCAGTTTGCTAAGCGCCCAATAAACACTAACGTATGACGAAACGGCCCGACGTATTTTTCGAGTTAGAGCGAATATGTTTAAAATGTCCAGTAGATATAATCGTACAGTTTGTAGAGTTCGTAAGTTCATATCAGAAAATTCTCATGATGAATAAAATACGAAAGAAAAAGAAGAGTCCTAGTAAATGTGTATGTAAGCATCACGTTGATAGTAATCATTTATTTTATGTATCCTGAGTGATGTAGGGTGTCGCGGCCGCCATTAGCCGCTCCTTAGAAAGGCGACCTTGACTTTCACAACCCCTAATCTTGCAGATTTAAGTCAAGCAACATGCGAGGAACCGGACTAGTCCAATATGGTTGAGTCCAAACCGTACCTCGTGAACATCGGATTAGGCAGCGCTTTTTCAAACATCCAACAACATTGAGATTAATTTAATATCTACGATTTTCTACTCCCTCTAGCCAGGGAGTAAATCGCTCCACATATTGTTTTAGCCCCTTTTTTCGTCCAAATCGGAGCTGATGTTTAGGGACTCCATCCTCGTCAAGTGCTACACTTCGGCGCGATCCCGTTTCCGCGGTCAATCCGCCCTGTGAAGTCGTGTTGTTGGGGACGTGCAGAATTTATTAATTATGCTTGAAAGAATCAGAAGGAATTTGTGTAGGTTGCGTGACTTTCTGCATCCACAACAAATAAATAAACGAAATTTAAAATACGATTAAGAACGAGACATATTCAATTAGAAATTAATACAACATTTATATACAATTCAAAGCAATATACAAACAGGATAATTGATATATGTTATGTTGGCGAAATGTGTATGAGGTTTTTTGATTTCAGAATGTTTCTCTTTGTAATTGTTCGTTCATTTACAGTCTTTTTAAGTTTGTGTTGATATTAATCATTGTCGATATTAAGTGTCTTTTTTTAGAAGGAGTTTTTTAAGAATGATCTATCTTTAACTGTAATGTAATGTCTTAAGGTCGTTCGCACGTTGATGTTTACTTAGGTAGCGAATATAATTCACTTTAGATAAGCAATGTTGAGAATTGATATCCACAGAGTTTATTAAGTTTTCGATCGGGAATGAGTCAGCGATGATGTATCTTTGCGCGGGACAATCGTGATTTACAGTGACGTGGAGTATTTTCGCTAGTTCTCTGTGGGTGTTTGTTACTGACTGCCTGGGGCGGTCAACGTTTATTTTTATAAGGCCTGAAAGGCCGAAGGTGGCTCACTTGAGTTTTGGCGCAATTTCGTTCTGCACGTGAACTTTCAGTGATGAACCAATGAGACTGGTTGTTTCGCTTAGTGCAGTTTTAATTGGTTGAAGTTTTCCGTACGTAGGCGTAAGATATAGACTGTTCTGTTGCTAGGGTTGAAAGGTAAGGAAAAAAGGACGAGTCTACCTGTTTAGGGACTCGTCCTAACCGATACAACGAATCTTCGTGCGACATCTATCTACTTGCTGCTGTTTCTGACAATTCTCCCGTCCGCTAGTCGACTAGCTACCGCCGACGTTCATCTTTACATTCGTTTCGCCGATACGACCGGAATCAACTACCCCTAAACAAAACCAGTCATACCGGACCCGACACCGATACAAACATATTTCTCCAGAGTACACTCTTGTACATTTTGGATAAATAAAATCGACGTTATTGTTTCTTAAACCTTTGTCTTAGCTGTTCACACCTTTCTTCGTAAAGCTTGCGGGGGCGACACCATTATCGGCCCCGCAACAGGGGTATGGGAGAACGGACGAAATTATTTCATTGACTCTCTAGTTTCTTTGCCTGGTCGCCTCTTTGTTTATCACTTTTTCGAGACAAAGGAATTTATTTCAAAATTGTCTCTTGCTTCTTGATTGGTTCACAGATGTGAGTCATTTGACCTTCCCTTTTTCTTCACCTACATTTAAAATGATGATGTAGCATCCCGCTACCACTTCCTTATCAATGTATAATTTTGTACATTTTTGTGCAAAAAAGTGAATCAGAGCCTTCTCAGCTTAGTAAATATTGTGAGGAAATATCAGCTTCTAATTGGTCAATGCCAACCAATCAGATCGTCTGCACGTGAAGAATAATTCTTCCCGCGCAGTGATCTTGATCCTATCACGTGATTACATTATCCATAAATAGCAAACACAAGCTTGATTTCTCTCTCTCCTTTCTTCATTCGCCTAAGAAGATGTTGTAGTGCCACGCCTACATTTTCTCCAATTCTAATTGGTCAATAAATACATACTAGAAAATAACAGGACAATTTATCTATTGCATTTCCACCACAGTAATTTTGTTCCTACACTTTGTTCAAAAACAAGCTTTGCTACAAAATCGCTGATTGGTCCATTTTCCGTCCAATCGGATATTTTTCATGTATATTCAAAAATATATTCCAGCATCTCTGCTGGGAGCCACCCTAGGTAGTATAAATATTGGATGCATTCCAAAAAACCAGTAGTAGTAGTTCCAGAACTACAGTCGAGTGTACCCAGAAACAATAGATCTCATCTACTCGCTCGTGTATTTCATCCTACTCACTCCGCACGTACATACAATACAGACCTTTATTTGATACACCACCAGTTCTCAGTGGACACACCAAGTTAAATCAACTTTGTAAGTTGCAACAACTGAACAATTTTCTGAAAGAAATATTCTATTTTCAACACTGAACTCTGAACATTTTACTCAGACAAATCTTCTTTAAGACATTTCCTTACAGTGAAGGGGAAGCTACTTTTTTCTCCCTTTTTCACTCATATTACAACTACTTTGTATTATTGTTGAATTTAATATACATATATTTCTTCGTTAAACAAAATTGGTTCTCATTGTTTTTTCCTTGATGTTTTAAATATTATGTATGAATGTTTATTACCTTCTCAACGCGCAGCCACATTATCTATTTAACCGATTCAACATTGGTGACCACAACACTCAAGAAGCAGTACATTCTACAATTGGTCAACCCGACGTTCTAATCAACATTCTACAATGTGATCATCAGGATTCTCGTCTAGACCATGAGCGGTCAGACGTTAAAAGTATATTCACGCATGCACGTACGTACGAACTTTTCCAAACTACATTACAGACATACAGAACATTTCCAAACATGCAACAAGAACTTTTCTCTTTGAAATATTCTCATAAAACTACATTTTAGTCAGCATTTCTCAGCTTTATAATTAATTCAACTTTTGTGAGTACAGATAAAAATATTCCCAGTCGAAGAGACATAATCTTTAACTTCTACACATGTACATCAACACTCAAATAAATACAGATGTTATGTTTTAAAACCATTTTGTTCCTTCTTGTTTTTCATGCTTTGCGGTATCTTACGTTTAATATAAATTGTGTGGTCATGTTATTCACGCAGCCGTAAACAGACATCTACAATTGTCCATTCTTATTACCAAGCCACTACATTATGGTAACTCCGACTTCTGAAACAACTAGACCACTACAATGACCTTTTGGCCACTTTTATTTATTTATTTTATTTCTTTATGGCAAAAGAACAAAGTGAGACAATTGAACATTGTAAAACATACCTTATACAAGAAACACTATACATAACGAGAAAGAGAATAGATGACTTGCTAAAAACGTATTCTTTTAGCGGTTAAAAGTCAAAGCATCGGAGACGAAATCCAAATACATATGTCGGTGTTAGCTATTCCTTAGCCCCTTAACTCTTCACCAGGGGTCTCTCTCCCCTGGCTATAAATACTAGCTGACCCTTCGCATCTTCCTCTTTTTCCTCAGGCGTTCAGCCTTACTACCTCGTAGATGTGAGCTCTCACATATACAGCGTTTCCCAAATTCTGGGAACACGCTAAGAACGATACACGTACGTACGAACACTCACTACAACACACACACACACACACACACACACACACACACACACACACACACACACACACACAATAATATTCACTACACGCACTCTGTCCATGTAACTGTCCACTCATTGTAACTTGTACTTGTTATTAATACATATATTTGTTGGTACATGTTTATCGGTCTTCTTTGTTTTTCTTTGGACTTAATTAAAGTCCAACTTTCTCATGTAGTTGAACCGGCTAGCAGGAAATTTCTACCCACGTGTGTTCTACATACTCATCATCACCGCCACAGTCTTCTACACATATCTGTTTGAAATAAATAATGCACGTATCTGAATGGAGTTTCATATTCTGTTTGTATGTACTCGCATTATTCAGGTTAGATTGTGCCCAACATGTCTATTCTTGAGTGAAGCTCGAGACGCGTTTCCCTCATTCCAGATCTTCTCGGCGTCTGTCTGGAGTATCTGAAAATACATCCATTCGTTCTCTTTCTTCTCTAAAGTTGGTACTCGAAATTCTATTTCGCGCCTAATTTTGGATCTTGCCCATTATCATTTTATAATAGATTTGTCGCGGCCGCCATTAGCCGCTCCTTAGATAAACGACCCTGACCTTTCACAACCCCTGATCTCGCAGATTTAAGTCAAGCAACATGAGAGAAACCGGACGAC